GGGTTACACAGACCAAAACAGAGACAGACATTCCGACACGGAACGCACATTTTCAAAGGAGAATAACTGACCGTAGCATTGTTTTTCAGATAAGTATGTTAACTTAGTATGTTTCTTAAACATCTGCAAACATACTATGGTATTTTTATGCTTTAGTAGAGTCAAAAACTTACATACAGCACCTTTAAGCAGCACAACTGTTTCCAACATTTTTCCAACATTCTAACATTTTTAAAATTAATTAAATGCTGCCTTGATGAGTCTGACAGACAGACTTCTTTAAAAAACAAATAAACAAAAAATACTTTAAAAAAGTACAGATCCCATCTTTTCGTTGGTAATGTATCATTTTGTGTCTTCTAAACATTGAATGATGCCTCTTATAATAGACTCTTTTTGAAAAATGTAGATTTTTTGGCATCAGTTTCATTCATGGTCACATGCTTTTGATAACTCATAATGTGGAAAAATTGTCCTTGATCTTTACAGATAAAAAAGTTCATTGTATTATGAAAACATTAACTTTCAGAACTAAATTCCTGCTAAAGATCAGTAGAGGATGGAAAATGCTTGTGAAAAGCTAAATTATGTCTGCTTTGGTACACTATTTTAATTGGGCCTTAGATTATATAAAATTTGATTAAAAATGTATGATATTCTCTTGCAATTTTAAATTATCTATCTGTTGAAAAATTACGTAATTTTTTATTTGACAGATAAGACAATACAGTTATTTATCAAATTGATTCCTCTATCATTGTCATTAGTTGACGTTGTGCTCCCCGAGGGGCTGATGTGGGTGAGTAGAGCCAGCCTGCTGTGTTGGGGTGTGGAGGCCTGGCCTGTGCTCCTTACACACAGACCTCACATTGACAGAAGAACAATGGTGCGGGTACACCGCAGCGTCCTACTCTGCTGGCTGGCACAAAAGAGCCTTTTCATGCAGGCTGCTCCAGGGCTGGACTGACAGGCTGTTGCCACCAAAGGAACAAGCATCACTACCATGCCACCCTGCTTGCCATTCATCCCTTGACATCACATCTGATATATAGCAGCACACATACTATGTTGAATCTGTTTGACTGAGCTAAAACTTCTGTTACATTTACTTAATAGGACAGTTCACCCACAAATCAAATTTCCAGACTTTCATGTTGTTCTAAACTCATATTGTTGTCTTTTTCACAAAAGCAGAAAGTTAGTTTGCCTATAATAAAAGTGAATGTTGACCATGGGCTGTAAAAAAAAATCACCAAAAAAAAGTCAGTTTACCCTGTGAGCTGTTTTTCAAGTTTTCAAAACCCATATAGCATTAAGTTAGAAACATACTGAAATGTAAGTCGCTGTTTTTTGTTGTATGGAAAAAGTAGCTTGGACATTCTCCTAAATGTGTTAAAAAAAGCCATACTGGTTTTAAAAAGACATGAGGGTGGCAAAACTTTTATTTTTGGGTGAGATTATTTGATATGATTAGTTTAATGTAATTACACTAGTGTTTAAAACGTTGGTAAGATTTTTGAAAGTTTTTGGAAAAAGTCTATTGTTTACCAAAACTATGTGTTTTTAATCAAAATAGTAATATTGTGAAAAACAGTAATATTGTGACATAGTACTATTTAATATTATTTTAAAATGTAATTTATTCCTGTGATGGCAAAGCTGAATTTTCAGCAGCCATTACTCCAGTCTTCAGTGTCACATGATTTTAAAAAAATCATTCTCATATGCTGATTGGTGCTCAAGAAACAATTCTTCAGTGTTGCTTAATATTTTTGGGGAAACCATTATACATATTTTATCAGGATTCTCTGATGCATAGAAGGTTTAAAAGAACAACATTTATTTGAAATATTATAAATGTTACAACAACTTAATATTGACAAAATGTTCATTTGTGGTTGATTTAAATTGGGTTTAAAGTACACGCATCAAGTGCACACTTGGATCTGATCGAATCTGTTTTAAATACACTTCACATTGTGTCCATGGTGATTTCTTCTGGTTTAAAGTATCGCTGCCAATTCTGTGAATCCCAGATGTATTTGTGAATAGACCTGAGGGAATTGAGGCCTGTTTCTGTGACTTGTTTATGTGAATGTTGTTGTATGGTACATTTCTGCTCTGTGGGGCGTAAGTAAGGTACTCCCTGAGGACTGTAATACTACTGAGTCTAACTGTTCTACATGTTTAAACTTAATTAATTAAATGGAATCCTGAAAATAAAAAGACCAAGATCCATTCAGAGCTTCAGTACCACACTATAATATAGTTCAGTTTGAGACTATGAGGTCTTGCCTCAAACTTCTAAGCACACTGACTGGGGCAGGATGGAGTTGAGGGAGGCTTGGCAAACCCACAGGTTGAGAAGAAAGGATTCCTTATTCTAGGCATGACCCAGGTCTGCTCGGAAGAACAAGGAAGTGAGGTTCCCCTGAGGATGGAGCTCAGAACAGCTAGCTTTTTCAAAGCAGGGTGAATGTCAATGTGGCCAAGGAGTTGGGTATGGAGATATAGAAGTCGTTGGTTTGTCTGAATGACTAGTCAACACCTTTACTATGCTGGTTCAGGACTAACAAGCCTGGAAATTCATGTTGGTCATTTCAGCAGGATTTATTATTGTGCAAACAGATTATACAGCTCATGAAACATGACCTTGATCATGTGCTTTTTATTTACTTTTGATTCCTGACAGAGATAATTCATTAAGCTGCCCTTTCTTTACATAAAGCTCTGAAATCTGATTATACAAGCCACACTGACCACAAACCAAACAGAGCTGTTAGAATCAGGGTTAAATAAATATTCCATAATATGGATTAATGTGAATACAGCAAATCAATGATGTGCTCGTCTTTCTGCTGCAGGTTTGAAAAGGGTCGTATCTACAGCTACATCGGAGAAGTGGTGGTGTCAGTTAACCCTTACCGTGCCATGAACATTTACGGACGGGACACCATCGAGCAGTACAAAGGCAGAGAGTTGTACGAACGACCGCCACATCTATTCGCCATCGCCGATGCTGCGTACAAAGCCATGAAGAGAAGGAACAAAGACACTTGCATTGTTATCTCAGGTGGACTATGTCTGAATGTGATGTAACTCACCATTGAGCTCATGGGTGAATCTGTGGAGCAGCCACTGAAGTAATATTACAGTTTTAGGAGAAAAATGCATTACTTCATCCTAAAATAATATTAAAAACAGCCTGTTGTCTTCCTTCAATTCGATTAAATAACAGACTAACTGGAATACAGGCTTCGGGGTCTTCTTGTGGGGCCGCAGTATGACTGGGAATGATGTGATTAGATCTGTGGTTAGATGAGAATAGCTCGGCACTGACGTGGTGTGTGGTTTCCCAGTCACAGAAGACTGCTTGAGCAGGAGCTCACAATAGAGTGCAGTGCATGAGCAAATTGTTTTCTCAAGACATGCCCATTGTGTGAAAAAGATTAACGGCAATATAGTTGTTTCACAATTTCTACAAAAATCTCTCTTTGAGACAGTGTTTGTTTTCCGTCTGGGATGCTGTGGAACTATTCTGAGGTGGGGCACATAGCTCAAGGGAAATAATCTGGTGACCACTCAGATGTTGCCTCTATAAGAAAACATGGATTATTATCCAGTGAGTGACCACAGGTGGTGACTACACTGCAAAAATATTTGGTATGTGTGGTGCCACCTTGTGGCAAACAGAGGAACATGTTTATTTTTTTAGAGTGAAGTATAATAGAGTGAGAAGATAATTTTGTGGCTTTGTTTAACCAATAAATTCCACGAGTGCCTCTGTGTGGTTGTATAATACTATCAGATAAGATAAATAGGTTAGGGTCTTACCAAACAACTCAGAGAAGTGAAAGCTTTGAATTTTTTTGTTTGTACTCTTTTCGCCCTAGCCTTGCTCTTAGCCCCAGGGGAATGTAAAATGTATATTTGATACTTACAATAATTATTATTTCATGTTATTGTTATAATTGTAATCTAATTACACTTCTGTTCAAAAAATTGGGGTTAGTAAGATGTTATTTTTTTAAAGAAGTCTCTTATGCTGACCAAGGCTGCATTTGTTTCATCGAAATACAGTGAAAACAGTAATATTATTAAATATTATTACAATTTAAAATGGCTGTTTTAATGTAATTTAATTACATTAAATCATTATAATTAATTATTATTTAATTTATTGAATTGAACATTGAACAAAATCTGAATTTTCATTAGCCATTATTACAGTCTTCAGTTTCTCATGATTCTTCGGAAATCATTCTGATATGCTGATTTGGTGCTCAGGAAACATTCCTTATTATTATCAATGTTGAAAACAGTTGTGCTGCTTAATATTTTTGTGGAAACCATTGTACGTATTCTCTGATTTATGGAAAGTTCAAAAGAGAAGCATTTATTTAAAATAGAAGCCTTTAGTAACATTACAGATTTAATTTCTGCCGCTTTTGATCAGTATAATCAATGTAATGCATCCCTGCTGAGTAGAAGTATACATTTCTTTAAAAAATCTTAATGACCCCCAAAAAATTGAACAGTAATGTACAGTGCAGTTCAAAAAAAAAAAAAAATACAAAAATAATTTGTTTATTTTCTGCTCAAATTGGTATGTTAGTTTTATTAGTAGAGTAAGAAAAAAATCAATTAGAAAAATAAATATTTATTTTTAAAAATGAGAAAACTTTTTAGAAAGATGCATTTAAAAAACTTTTTAGAAAGATGCAAAATAGAAGCATTTTTACTAGTAGTCTCAGATTTTTGAATTCCATTGTAGATTGTAATGGCTATAATTAGTTACTTCAGTTTATTAAATCCTATTATATACTCATATATGTAAGTATTAGTCATTGATTGTTTCTTTTGCAGGGGAGAGCGGAGCTGGAAAAACGGAGGCTAGTAAATATATTATGCAATATATTGCTGCTATCACCAATCCCAGCCAAAGAGCAGAGGTGGAGAGGTACGTACAACAAAAAGCCTTTCTGTTCCTCTCTCCTCACTGCTGCAGAGATGAGTCATATTAGGAGACCCTATTGGCGGCCATATCAACAACTACCTGCTTGAGAAGGTAGGGTGCGCTAAAGAGGAGAAAATAAAGCAACTTAGATGTGACTGTCTCATAGGGCTGCATGATTAATCAAAATTAAACCGAAATCACAATTTGGCTTATTGTTATTATCAAATTACAATGCTGCAATTTTATTAAATGCTTGATTTTTTAAATAATGAAATATTACTATAGTAGTATTGCTCATTTTGTTCAATTTTGTTACAAATTGTCTTAAAATGTTGATTGTTAACAATAATAAGTTTAATACTTTTTTAATGTTTATTAAAAATACTCAGAAAACAACTGAAAAAGCAACACCCTGGCAGTGATACAGAGCATTTTGCTTGGGCATTCACCACTCACTTTTGTCTTCCTTGTTCGTATAATATGTGCTGGAGAAGCTGTGAAATAGTTACGTTTATTATAAATTAATATGATCTTTACTTTAGCGTTAACACTTTTTCAAATTTATTCCTTAGTCCCGAGTCATTTTTCAGCAGGAAGGAGAGAGGAGTTTCCACTCTTTCTTCCAGGTGAGTGAAGGACTCACCACAGACATTAAAAAGCTGTTTTTGTTTTGCCAGCCGTTCCAGACACCAGACAAATCCCACCAAACCTGTGTTTATGACTCCTCTGTCAGAGCCTTCAAAGCCTAATCATCTCTCACTTTCATTGCTCTCACAAAATAATGTCCTGTTACTTCAAAACATCAGAACAATTCCATCTGCTTGTTACTGCTCTGCAAACCATTATTAACAAGACTATAATTTACATGCTTCTCCATATCAACACAGGAGAAATTATCCTGTAGGGAAAGTCAAAGGTGTTTTTAAATGTATTTTTCAGCTGGTGAAAGGAGCTCCAGATGCTCAGCTGCGGTCCCTGCACATTCAGAGAGACCCCACAGCATACACCTACATCAAAGTTGGAGGCCAGATAAAGGTATTGCACCATGTACAAATTAAAAGAGACTATTGTGGGTGGTTAGGTTTGTGTAATATATGAAAACTTTGTTTGGGTTGTTACAGACATCAAAAAGGATCTCAAGACAATCTTGGAAAAATAAAACCATTCTGGGGCAATCACACATGATTGTGCAGGGAATTTGATTATGGTTGTTTATGGGTACAGTAGCCACTGGTGCATATTAAAACCTATTAGCAATTGCCTCATATCTTTAGCCTGTTGAGTCAAGAGATGAGATGATGACTTAGCACTGTTCCATTGCTTCTGCAGGGAGTTTAATGAGCGGGCACAAAAACACATTTAGAGCAACAAACAAGGTGTCGTCATGGAACAGGCCGGATTGTTGAGCTCACAGAGGTCTGAAAAAAAAAACAGCCTGGAGTATGAGGGGCCGTATAGGCCATAATTATTGAAAAGCCTCTGGAGCGCTTAGATCATTTCATGCCAGTTCCCAAGTCTTTTATAGGTGCACATGCTGGCTAAACTTCACACTCTGTCTAGCACAACTGTGGCTGCAAAAGGTTCCTGCTGTATGAAATCAGTGTTTTCTCTGCAGGAGCTGTTAGCCATATGCATACCAGAATAATTAGCGTTTTGAGTGTTGTGCACTTGTTTTAGGAAGTCTAGGGATTGAGTTGCTGTGTCAGCAATTTTCAGATTTAATTGCGCGGCTGTAAATTAGATGTGAATGTAATAGTAGATTTAATGGCCTCTCATTTCAAAAGCATTGATTTACTTTCACTAAATGAAGGGCTTTTAGCCAGTTTACCAACCAGGCTGTTATCCCTAAAGCTGAATTAGTCAGAAGCAATGTCAGGATGTTTTAAGTTTATTTAATTTATTAGGATCTGTCAGCTTTTGTTTGTGACGGTAACTCGCTAAGATTGTCTTTTTTAATCTTGCAGTCCTCAATAAATGACAGTGCTGATTTTAAAGCTGTCACTGATGCCATGAAGGTCATTGGATTCACTACAGAGGAGATTCAGACGGTCTACAAGATCCTGGCTACCATCTTGCATCTGGTTTAGTATTTCCTATGCTTGTTTAAAAAGTATTACTAACTGCAGCCAGTTGCTGTAGCTCAAACTCATTGATTGATGAGTTATTTGATCTTTCCAGGGGAATATGAAGTTTGGAAGTGATGGAGATGTGACTCTCATTGAGAACTCTAAGCTAGTGTCAGTTTTGGGGGATTTGCTGTCCACCAAAGACGAGAAAGTAGAAAAGGCTCTCCTCTACCGCACTGTGGCCACCGGCCGCGATGTCATTGACAAACAGCACACTCATCAAGAGGCCAGTTATGGACGTGATGCTTTGGCCAAGGTATGATTTGGGGCTCTGGGAGACTTATTTTAGGAAACTGTGGTGAACAAAATTGTGGTAACTGCTGGACCAAAAATTTGCATATGAACTACATGCCAACGTCGAAATTAAAACTTCTACAGGCCCTAAATATGTTGTTTTGATCCACTATAATGATAATGATATAGTTTATTTCGCACACGTTATTTTCTGCATTTTTGTATTATTTGTTGTACTCTTGTATATTTCATATAAAAATATTCTTATAAAAAGTAAAAAATAATACCTTTATTCATCAAGGATACATTAAATTCATCAAAAGGGACAGTAAAGACATAATGTTACAAGAAATTCTGTTTCAAATTAATGCTATTTTAAACTGTTTATTAATCAAAGAATCCTGAAAAGAGTATCTTGGTTTACATAAAAATATTAAGCACAATATTTGAATAAAATTTCATTTAAATTGTAATATTTCATAATTGACAAATTCACATTTTACATTTGAATGGCAGTGTATATATTTATGCATGTCTGTATATACTGATGTTTTTTTTTACACATTTTTTTCTCTGTACAATCTTATCTTAGCTGTACAATTACAATAAAAATATTGACCAATACAGACAAACACTGATGATTAAATTATTCACATCTGCGTTTCTGCATTCACCAGTTGACTTTCACTCTTTATTTGCTTCTCACAGGCCATTTATGAGCGGCTTTTCTGTTGGATTGTGGGAAGAATCAATGATATCATTGAGGTTAAAAACTATGACGCCAGGGTTCATGGGAAGAACACAGTCATTGGAGTCCTGGACATCTATGGCTTTGAGATCTTTCAGAATAACAGGTGAGAGCATATGCTGTACCATACATAAATGAGGATCTTAATTGGCTATATTATTCTTCTCCCTTTAGTATAATTATAGTGTCTCTCCAATTTCTTCCTTGTTTTATCCAGCTTTGAGCAATTCTGTATAAACTACTGTAATGAGAAACTACAGCAGCTCTTCATTCAGTTGGTGTTGAAACAAGAGCAGGAAGAGTATCAGAGAGAGGGCATCCCCTGGAAACATGTGGGTTTCATTTAATTGTTTCTTCTCAAATTTTTCATATCTCATAACTCATTTTGCATGGATCTCTGTGGCTTTAATGCAATAACTAATTAAAGTTTGTTGTGATTTGTGTTTGTGTGTTCATGGAAACAGATTGACTACTTCAACAATCAGATCATCGTGGATCTGGTGGAACAGCAGCATAAGGGTATTTTTGCAGTCCTGGATGAGGCGTGCATGAATGTGGGGAAGGTGACGGATGAGATGTTCCTGCAGGCTCTCAATGGAAAACTGGCGAAACATGCCCACTACACCAGCCGCAAGGTATTGAAAATAATACATGCCAATTAATTACTTAAACATAACACATAGTTTTGCCCAATCTCATGTTAACCATGAGTACCTATAGAGTAGTATTGCATCCTTCATATCTTTGAAGAGTCTTTAGTTTTATTAGAAAAGAAAGATATTGCTTTACGGTTCTCTCTGAAAACAGCCGAGCTCCTGGAGGCATGCCGTGGGTGGAGCTAAAGAGTCATGAGCACTTGCGCGCCGATTGCCAATAAAACACTGAAATTTGATGCAGTTTTACATACCGCCTGCGGTTCCAAATTATGACCGGGATCTTTTATCGCTGGGAAGGCTCCATCTTTCAGTATCAAATGATGTGCAAATCCAGCGTTGAACTGGGCCTGGTTTATAAAACATTTGTCACCGAAATGACAGGAACAAACAAACACACTTAAGAAACTCCGTTGCTGCCCCAGAAAAACAAACGGCATCCACTGTTCACGTAACATTGGGTTCTTTGGGAAGCTGAACAAGGTTCTTTCCCTTACAACCAAAAACACACTTCTTTGGAGACATTCTTCTTGTGCAAGTCCTGTGCAGCGCTGCTGATGACTTCCATAACCCAAACGTTGATGGGCGTGCTCTTGCTTTCACTCTGGTTGATGTGTGCGCACGCTTTTCCGGGATAAGTTACCATTCAAGGAATTCTGCCCTTCATACCGTCATGAAGGGCCATGGTCGAAAAAATTTCAGAAACTTATACGAACCCGGAAGGAGTGTATTTGGCACAGAAATACTCCGTCATACGTCCAAATCGTTTTTTGAAACTTTGGCCATGTTTAGCATGAGAATACAACTCTTTTTTTAACAGTGTAAATAACTCAGAATGCATGAAATAGCATTAGGATTAGGGCTGCACGATAAATCGCATGCGATATTTAACGCGCATCTTGTCAGTAAAGCCATTCTGTAATCAGCGGTAAATCTCCATCACGTGCGTGCTTTCACATTGAGCAGCATTAACTACACAGAGCCGTTGTTCACTGACGAGCTGCGCAAAATAAAAAGTCATAACATTTCTTAAATTCAGATTCAGTAGGTCTTAAATATTTTTGGTCACATTACCACAAAAATTTGTCCAGTCTAACGGACCCAGTGAGTGTCCATCAAGAGTACTTTTCCCCCCCGCTGTAGTTACCGCGTCATCAGAGAGAATTGCGGTTACAGAATACAGTCAAACACCAGCTCGCTGTCCAGCCTCCGAACTACTTTAACCATCTAAGCGCCAAAGTCGCAAAATTGTGTCATTGATGCAGAAGCAGTTCAGTTCATAGCGTGCGAGTAAATTGTGAGATTTGTGAGATAAAATCGCCAAATGGCTAATAAAAAGTTGTACCGTGAGGATTTGTAGCAAATGTTATTCGCCGATTCTGACTCTGAAGGGGAATATTTGCCTTTTGCAAATGACGATCGGTCGTCTAATAATCACGCTTCTCCTGGTACATCTTTGAAGCGCAATGGTGCCGCCGTGCAAGGTGAGAGTGTTCACGAAGCACAAACAAGTGATCATTTCGACCCTTTGCACAACGGGGATGGGGGTGGCAGGACAATATCTATTATTTCCTGAATATTACGCGTTTTTGTTACTGAATGATTCAGAGGTTTGAAGGAATCGGTTGAATGAATAAGTTACTTACCGCCACCTACTGGCGGTTTAGTCTCATGCTTAAAAGTATGCATTTTTCCCCAACATTTCTTATTTGTATGTTCAATATTTGCAACATAAAACATTAACTATTAATCCCATAACATTATTTACTGCTGTTGTAATTTTGTAATTATTTAATTTGATTGGTAACAGCCCTGTAGTGTATTAAATTTCTTGGTCAATTGTAAGAATTTGACTTGAAAGATGACGCATACATTTAATAAGGTAAAAAAATATATATTGGCCTTTATAAAGGTAAATGACATCCTGTGGTAAATATTAAAAACATGCAGATTTAAGTATGTAAAAGCTGACAGAAAACTGATGAAAATATATTGCTTCTGAATAAATTGTTTACACCACCAAAAATCTCGGTGATGCGACACTTTTGTTTTGTGGGAATATTTTGTATGTTTTGTCTGCTGATATGAAAAACTCACTGTATATCGTAATAACAAATAGCATTTTTGACAGCGATGATATTTTGTTTTCATCATTTGTTAAATATTACATATACGTATGTAATATAATGTGTATTTCCATCACAGGCTTGGTCTTAAATTTCACATAAGGTGGTATTAAAAAGGTCTTAAAAAGACTTAAATTTAACTTGTTCATATCTGTAGACACCCTGAAAAATACAGTAAAAATAGCAATGTAGTAAAATATTACTACAATTTAAAATAACTATTTTCTATTTTAATACAGTAATTTATTTCTGTGATTGCAAAGCTGAATTTTCAGCAGCCATAACTTCAGTCTTCAGTATCACATGATCCTTCAGAAATCATTCTAATATGCTGATTTGGTGCTTAACAAACAATTCTCTTTTATTGTCAATGTTGAAAACAGTTTACATACTATAGGATTAGAAATAGTAGTATGATAGAATGCTAACATAATTGAATTTTATGCATTACCCTGAACCAACACAAGGAGGCAATTATGGTCAGTGAAAAATGTTCTTCAGTATTTCTCAGTGCTGAGCCATCGGTGATGTCACTGGCAACCAATGGAAGCTAGTAAGTCTGATGTCTCACAGCCTTGGCAAAGTGTCAGAAAGTGAGAGGGAGTAGGAGAGTTATGGATGGAGACGGGCCGAGATAGATAGAAAAAGAGTGAACGAAACAAAATGTAAACATAACCCAACTTGCAGAGCTCTTGACAGACTCTGGAAACTAATCGGCCCTTCGTGCATTGCCCTGGGCACAGACCCAGCTAAAGGGTGAGTTTAGGTACAACTTTATCAAAATGTTCTCAGAATGTGTCCTCTGCTCACACATGCTGCATTTACGTCAAAAGGGGGAAGGAGAAGTAAGCAGGCATCGCCTGCCCCCTGATAATTCCCCCATGTCAGGCTGTGTGAATAATCAAAATTCTCCCTGGATGCAGGAAGAATAAGTGTCCTTCAGAGCTCATTTGTAATGCAGAGGATTACTCCTCACTGTGGATGCAAAATGAGCGTAGGAAAGAGAAATTGATTGGTCAGTAGAGGGAAATGGATAAGGAAAGCTTTCTAATATATTCAGGTGTGTGTTTCGATCCAGGCTGTGACACTTTTGTCTTTAAGCCACCTCTAAGATGTTTCCAGGCTTGTTTATGGTGATAGACATCCTCTCTGGGAGACAGGAACTGTGCCACTTTAACAACATAATTAAGAGTTACTTGTTAAAAATCTGTGGCAAAGTCTCTTGCGTTACGGGTTCTACCCAGACCAGGCTCCAAACACACTCACTGCGTCTCTTAAAAAACATGATATATCTCAATTAGTAATGCCCCCCATACAATCTTTAGTTGTAAAACAGTGCTTTGATGTCAGAAGCCTCACTTTCATATCTAATTGCTTGAATAAAGAGTTTACCTGTATACGCATGTATACGTACGTCTGCAATGTAATGGCAGATCTAGCCTCAAGCTGCCATATCCATCTCAATAATGTGCTTCATTTACAGCCACTTTCACCTTCTGTGCTTTATCAGCTTGTTTACATCTTCCTTAATGTGCCTCGCAGGCTCTTGGTGTTCTCTGTGTTTCCCACTTTTTCATCGTACCCTTAAAATGGCTTTGATCCTTCCAGATGTGTTATAAAAAAATCTTCTTTTCCCATAAGGTTTTAATTACTGTTATTTGCTGACACAAGCGGCAGTCTGATGGTAAGCGTTGAGGGCTTCGTTTCTTTCTCCTGTTCTTCTCTTTGATCCCAATTCCCCCACCCCTTGTTTTCCCTCTCTTCATCACGTGCCGATTACAGGTGTGGCCGTGTGAGCGGATGCTGCCATGGGAGTGCGTGGATGTCTGGTTGTGTGAAGGTGAGGGCAGGCTCATTATCCGATCAGGCTTGTGTAGGCCGAAGCAACCAGCCAATTAGCTGTTGGTTTGTGCTCCTGGAGAAGAGCTCCGGTAGCGTCTGTGGCCTGCTCTTCTGCAGAACTGTTCGTTAGGAAGAGATCATGCCTTGTTTCTATCATAGTGGAAGTAATTGCGTTGTTTTTGTGGTGACGTGTGAAGCACCGACACACGTTTAGCACGTATGTTATCGGATAATTGGTGGATGAATTCCCAGTGCGACATGCATGGACACATCAATGGACCTGGATTTTGGACACAGCTTTTTAAGTTTAGCATTAGCTAGGTTGTTTTTCTTGAAGATCTTTCCACATGACTCATGTTAGCGTTGGCCAGTGTATTGAACTCTGCTTCAGCTTTACCCTGCAGTGCTGGTCAAGTGATTTCAACTTTGACCTTGCTTGCAGCTGACCTTTCTAAGTGCATCCAATTTGCATGACGAATCTATCTTTCCAACCCATATCTATGATTTATGCCTTGTGTATTTTGGAGTACAATGAAACAAAAGTTTAAAAACTTTCAGACTTTATGAAGAGAACTTGAATCCCTCAGTTTCTTTTTTGTTCTTTCCAGTCATTGTTCCTCAGTTCCTGAACTGATTTAAATTCAACAATAAGGTTTTGTGAATCACATTTGATGAGTCCTATTTTCTTTCTGCTGTGTATCTAAGCAGTCACAAGGATTTTTTTTTGTTATAATCTCAAATGTTTTCACAGTTTACTGTTACATTGGCCTCTGTGTTTGATCTAGACGTCTAGAGTCCACAGTGATTTGGATACCTGGCTGCTGTTGGCTATGTCGATGTGTGAATGGCAGATTTTGGGGGGTTTTGGCAGGTGCCATTGCCATTACTGTGTATGTTTGGCTTAACCAACACTCTGTATTGAGAAGCACAGGTGTTAGACATGATGGTGTGGTCCTGGGGGGTGAGAATAGAGCTTGGAGTAGGAGGGTGGGGAGGCATCTGTGCGACCAGCAGGTTCCAGGATTAAATGTGTCCGTACAATCACACTTTTTTTTTTAACCCTGTAAATCAGGCCCGGGTAGAATTGGAGTGCTTGTAGTTTGTTACTGTGGCCTACAGATTAGCACAGGTGGACCAAAACTGTGTAGATGATATGAGTTTAAATTCAGATTCTACAAATAAAAGTTGTAAACATGCCAAAAATGCTTTAGTGCAGCAACATTTAATGTTGGTGGCTAAATTTAATCAGTTTTCTTCTTTTTGTTGTGATTAAAGCTTGAGGCTGTTAAGTGGAAGGTCATTGGTTCAATCCTACTTAAGCAGGTTCCAGGATGTACTGGGGAAGACTGGGATTTTGCTTAGTTAAACCTAATAAACATCATTTGCATCTTAAAAATATTAAGGCTGCCTGTAGATTAAAATAATGCATCGTAATTCTTTTGCTTTTTAACTTATAATTTATTCCTTTGTTGGCAAAGCTGAATTCTGAGCAGCCATTACGCCAGTCTTCAGTGTCACAATACAAATCATTCTAATATATCAGCAAAGAAATAAAAATCAAACACAAATCTGTGATAATTAAAGTAATTTTACAGTTACAGTTACATGGCAATTATGTAACTGTTTTCTTGTGTTGTCAGGTTTTTAGAATTAGCTGATTTTCATATATATACAGAATAATATGATAACTACGTAAATGCCCTTATTGGCATTTTTACAATATTGATGTTTATGTTAAATGATACTGTACTATAGGAGTAAAAAACACCTATATGGTTTGGTGCATAAATAAGACAAAATAAGATTCTGAAACACTGTTAAATGATTGACTGCTTCTTTCTATAAAGGATGCTTGAGGTTTAAAGGTGTGAACTTGTTCTTCTCACCATCACTTTTTTTTTTGTTTTGATGCTTTTCAAATTCTGCTGTGACTCATCTCCATTTTGACTTTCAATCATCTGTGCTCTACTTTGTAAAATGGCATATGCAGTGTGGCTCCATATATTCGATGATTACACTAAGACGAGACCTCATTTTATTCACACATTGTGTTGCTGTATGTGCCTGCGTGTTTCCGGGCATGACTAATTGAGATATATCATGTTTTTTAAGAGACCCAGTGAGTGTGTTTGGAGCCTGGTCTGGGTAGAACCCATAAAGACCTTAAACTCTTGGCAAATGCAGTCCTCAGATGTCCCACATCAAATATGAATCTCCATTGCAATTTCAAATGACTAAATGATTGAGTTTTTTTCAACACCGCTATAGCCATCCATTCAAATTTATTCTGATTGCTATTCCACTTCGGGTGAAGTGTTCAGAGTTTGTCCTCTCTGGTAGAGATAGTAGCTTCTCATCCATTTCCTTAGAGGGCCGTTTTATCTGTATTGCAGTTAAAATGAGCCGAGTGAGTCACCGCATGCACAAACCAAACAGAGACACCGTAAAGTGGCACCCGACACAGAATAGAGAAGCTGGCGTCTACCACAGTAGAGACTGTGACACAAAAGCTCACTAAAACTTACTGATAGTCAATCCTTTAATTAATCTGGCGTGTGGGCATGTGACGGCTTGTGGCTAGAGGGATACGGAGTGTCATTGTTCCGCTCTGCTTTAATTCGCAGAAATGGGCGTCCCTGTTCATGCAGTGGATCAGCAATAACATGATGTAGCCATTCTGTATCTTAATGAGAGCTGAGGCTGCTTGCCTTTGATGTCACTGCTGTATTTTATGAATGACAGTGAGTCTTATATAACTGCATTAGCTGCTCTCACCCAGCATACATAGACTCCTCAAGGAGGACAGTGATCTGGTACTGATAACAGGGCTGTAGAGCAAGTTTATGCACAGTTGCAAATTAGAAGGGAATTAAAAAACTTTTGGGCTTTTTTAATGTAAAATTTGACATTTCTCACTCTTAAATATTAGGAAGAAATTGCAATAAGGCATAAGCAATAAGGGGAAAAGACACTACTGTTCAGTAAATATTTGCTTTTATTAATCAAATTATTTGAACTAACAATTCTCCCAGCAGGTAAAATATTAATAAAACACTATGTGTAGGCTGTTGGTTGCATAGCAACTTGATACATTAATATAAACCATGTGGCCACAGGTGTACATTTTACAGCTTCAAATGCAGCAGAATGAAATCAGAATTTGAGTCAGAAATATCCTTTTTATAATTATAATGGAAGTAGGCACACTTGCTACTCAACACTAAATAGTGTAGGGCACCGTCTCTTTCACAGTCTTTCACTGAACTTCTTTCAGCACAGCTTTTTTAGCACTGCCGTCTTATGCTGGATAGAAGTGCGCATCTCATCTATCTTTCATAATCGCAGAGTTACTTAGATGCTCCCTCCCAGTCTTTGAGCTGCCTCGTTCGTTCTCTGACTTGTTTACTGCAAACATTTGTAGTTGATGTGTTATTAGGAGTTTCGAGAGTCTACTTTTTTTGTTTTAAAAATCTCTAATTTTCCCCATCTCTGTCTCCACAGCTTTCCCCCACGGACAAAAACCTGGAGTTTGACCGAGACTTTCGCATCCGCCATTATGCTGGAGATGTGGCGTAAGTGCACTCTCTGCTGTTTTGGACCATAAGCCCCAAATGCTGTAATTAAAAAGCACCATTAGTAACCCACAGAAGGCTTAACTAAGTGGAAAGAGATCTAGTTCTTCCCTTGGGCAAAGATTGGGTTTGAAAAGGTTTGGTAAATAAACATTTGAATGACGCAAGCGTATTAGTCACTCCGAATGATGTAAATGGCGGTTACCAAAACAAGTTGATTCCGAATGTGAATGCAGTTTCATATTCTCATTTCAGCGGTTTGCCAGATTGCAGGCTGTCAGTTATTTCCTAAAGTTCTGTGGGTGTAGTAGGTGTGATGTGACACCACATTGAAACGCCTTGTTGATGTTCAGGCTTCTTTGTTTGTGTGACAATGAGAGAAATGTGTAGAAGAACGATATCTAAAATTATATTCTCAATTCAGGAGCCAGAGCTCTCTCTGTGTCAGTTATAATACTGCTTGTCTTCAAGGAGACTTGAGCATTTACTATAACACTCATATTTCGATCAGTATTAAGTGAATGTAAACATTGTGTCTCTGTGTGTGGTTTCAAAAAAATTCATTTTTTTCGAGCTTCCCAATTAACCCAACAACAGCAACATGCACTCAACCAATTGCATTAGTGCGGGGGCGGGGCTAAATATTTATTGCCCAATAGAATGGAACAATGTCTGCCCACTTTTTCTTCTGCTTTTGTTCCGGAAGTATTTGTTCCATTAATTTTTCCAATAGGGTAAAACATGGTTAAAAATTATTATGAAAAAAATTGTTGAAATAATGCGGGCTGATGGCTGCAATAAAAGCATATACCATTGATTAACAACCTCGTATCTCACAGGTCTGCATGTAAAGATTTATAAGTTATTTCTCTATCATAAAAAAGAATGAGATTTTTACTTCTGGAACTAAAATTTTGGATTTGCAGATGGAGGGAGTGTTCAACGAAACCTGTTTAAAAACAATAATTAATTTAAAACTCTTTTTGTGTTGACATTGGCAAAGAAATTGCACAATTTACCTTTAAGTCTGAAATTTGCTATGTGCAGACTCTGTATATTTGTGTAATTCAGTCGTTGTGGTTGTGTGTTTTGTTTCAGTTATTCTGTTGTAGGCTTTATTGACAAGAACAAGGACACCTTGTTTCAGGACTTCAAGAGGTTACTTTACAACAGGTCAGTATTACCATAAAGTACATCCCTCCAGTCTTATTTGCATACCTGCCAGATGTCACACAACATCCGTGACTTTTATCTGTCCTTCTCCTTCTGTGTTTCACAGCTCAAACTCTGTGCTAAAGGCCATGTGGCCAGAGGGCAAGCTGAGCATCACAGAGGTCACCAAACGACCCCTGACTGCTGCCACTCTCTTCAAAAACTCCATGATATCTCTGGTGGAGAACTTGGCCAGCAAGGTGGGTGTGTTTGAAGCATTTTTGTGTAGACCCTATCTGATTTATAGGTGATTGAGGTCATTGAAATATAAAGAGTTTTTGCGATAATGACCAACGAATGCATATTATTGTGCTTTTTACAAGGCCAAATTTCCCAAATAAATACTCATGTGGATAATAAATATTTATTTCAGTTTATTTTTTTTAATGTGAGAAGAAATAGACAGCAAAGCTATGTAGGAAGTTGAGGTACCTGGAAAAATGGTCTAGTTTATTTATCAATATATGAATATAAAAAAGTATTTTCATGCAGAAGGCTGTGAATGTCCAATTGAGTCAAGTATTCCAGAGAACTATTTAATAGAGTGCAACTTCAAGTTCCAGAAGGAAAATTGTAAAAAATCTAAAGTGTTTTTTAACAATAGATTATATGCCTTTAAAGACAGAACTGCCGTGTTTGGTAATCAATGTCATATAATTTTGTTGAAGCCATCAGCATTATTTCAACTAATTTTATTAAATCATTTGCAAAGGGATTAAAGTTTTTGCCTTCACTAAAGCTGTTAAGTACCCAGTCTTGTACCTTTGTCTTTTTGTCCAATTTTCAAATACTTTTTTACTTAAAATTAAAGTTTTTAATGCGACTATCCTCGTAGCTGGTTGGTGTGGTCATTTAATAAAGATTTTTTTTTAAATCGCTATGAGAAAAATTATTCTGGAATCAAAGTCGTTAAAAAAGTCTGGGGCCACTGTTGCATTCTATAGATGCAATTACTCACAATCGCCCTCTGTTGGTTTATATAGGAGCCATACTACGTGCGTTGCATAAAGCCGAATGATGTTAAGTCACCGCTGCTGTTTGAACACGAGCGCTGCAAGCACCAAGTGGAGTACCTGGGCCTCCTGGAGAACGTCCGGGTGCGACGAGCTGGTTTTGCTAACCGACAAACCTACCCACGGTTCCTTCAGAGGTGAACTTCCTATGTTTTTCGTATTTGTATGGCCAACATGTGTCAATTTCAAAGCATTTTTTTGATAATTTATTTGTTTATTTTATGTTTCAAAAGTCTTTTTATTTGATGTTCATGATTTGACATTTGTGTATGGTTTCAGCTCATGAATTGCAACTCAATGCTCTGACAGCTTGTGTGAGACTGTTGCGTCTTTGGTTGCTAGTGACATCTGAAACTACAGATTGACCAATCAGATTGTGAAGATCTTATGCAACGTCTTTTGGTGTGAATGCTGTCATCCTCTGGAGTCCCTTCTTCACGAAGTGTCATAATTGCTAAAGGGTTTTATGTAACAATGACGTGCAAGAGTCTTTTTCAAAAGCCTTGAGAGCATACATTGTACTTTGTCTCTCAATATACAATGATTCTTGATATATAGGGACCAGAATCCTTGAGCAAAAACCTATAAGATATTCTCCTAAAGTCTCAGTTTTCTTTAAGATGAAGTGTCCTAAGTCTCTGAGGCCTCTGTATAGTGCTCAAAACAAATAGTTCCCTAAAGAAACTCTGAAACACACTTGCCACAAATCTGATGAGTTAATGAGATTCAACACCTGAGTTGACAAAATGTGTGTCGCTGAGAGGAAGTTAGACTGAAATTCTTCTAATTGAGAATGCAGTGTTAACAGCACTCACAGGAGGGATTTGTGTCTGCAGATGTGCATGGAATATAATGCACTACTTAGAGGCGAGATTGGACAAATGAGAATTTGATCCAAGGATTTGGTCTGGCCTCACATCACTCTTAAATAAGCACTCGTTGTGTTATATAATGCTTGTTACGAAATGGATAGTTCGGACTCTATATTCTGATTGGATGAGCCACACTTATAAATATATATATATATATATATATATATATATATATAATAATAAATGTATATGTTTATAAATAACAATATGTGAGGTATTGCTCTATCCTTAAAACGTTCTTCTTTCCTTTTCATTTTTTAGGTATAAGATGATCTCCGAGTTCACCTGGCCCAACCACGACCTGCCATCTGATAAGGAGGCGGTGAAACGTCTATTGCAGGGTTGTGGGTTCGAACACGACGTGGCCTACGGCAAGACCAAAGTGTTCATTCGCACCCCTCGAACAATCTTCAGCCTGGAGGAGCAGAGAGCAGAGATGGTGAAGAGGATCGTCCTCTTTCTGCAGAAGGTTCGAGCTCAATACTTCAGACTTGTTATGTGTAGCTTAGGCTTTCTGTGTACTTGTATAAATATATACAGTGGCTATTTGGACACTTGAATGTCCTTGCATGGTATAACGAATATATCAGACCAGTGTCATTTATTTTACAAGAAAATAATACTTTTAAAGTGAAATATTTTGCAAAAAGAGGTATTTGTATCATGCATCTTTTAATTTAAAAAAAATGCACAAAGAAGTAAAGTTAGTTAGCTTTACTATCACTTGTTTAATATTTTGTTACCTATTGCAATGGCATGCAGACATTTTTAGTTCTGACTTAAGGGTCCAAATATACTTTTTGGGGACCATATAAATATATATGCATTTGAAAATCGAATGTCCTCCCACAAAGTGCAAGGCTCTTCATGCTTGCTCCTATGAATCATGATAACATTCTTAGACCTCAAGACTAACCTCAGCTAACCTTATCAAACCTCATTATACACTACCGTTCAAGAGCTTTGGGTCAGTAAGATTTTTTAAATGTTTTTGAAAGAAAATGTTGAACATTGAAAATGTTTCTATGCTCATGCATTTATTTGATTAAAATACAATAAAATAATAGTGAAATATAATTACAATTTAAAATAGCAATTTTCTATTTTCTATTTTTTTAAATATAAATCTTTTATATCAATTTATATGTATTTACTTACACTTTTGCTGAATTTAATACAGCTTGCTGAAGAAATGTATTTAAAATCTTACTGACCCCAATCTTTTGAACAGTAGTGTATGTGAAATTCCTCACAAAAATCACAATGGGCGACATCCAATTTTTCCATAATACATTCATCATATTTCATATGGTATTTGGCTGGTTTTCAAAAATTAAATCTGATCAGGAATTTCATTATGGCACACACTCATGCACTTACTTAATCAGCTTCGGAGACAGCAAGGTGCTATATCCGCACCACCCTACGTTCCTGTGATTCTTTGACACCATTACTTTTCAACAACAGACCTCACACCACAGCAGACTGAACAACAAGGCAACAATAGAACAATATGGCACCCAAATCCCACCACCTCACAGCATTTTTGTATTTTGTCTGTGTAAATACATAACACGCAGTACTTTGTGGCATTTTTAAAGGGACTTTTCTACCTTTATTTTTCCTCAGGAGCATGAGAATACTTTGAATGGCAGATTTATTGACTGCCAGTGTCATTTCACCGTCACACAAAATGATTGTGGGTTCTTCGTGTAAATTCCCCACTCTCGCTTTACTGTCTTCAGTGACTGACAGTTATTAGAAATCAAAGCATCTATTCTGTCAGCTCCTGTCTGCGCATGGAGTGTTTTTTTACCACTCTCCCGTTGCAAGATCTTATGCGCTATTTCAAAAGATGTTATCAGGGAGTACCCGTTATCGAGATGCTTTTAAACACGAACTGACATGATTTTCCATCACGCTTGTGTTCAATATCAAACTCTCAGTTCTAGGCTCAGTGTTTCTGTTTCATAGTCTCACTGGACTGCTACATTCATGAGCAGACACATATTAAAGTGTTTAATCTGTGCTCTTCCTGAATCAGAGATTGATTGTTTGATCTTTCGTATAGATTCAGAGCTGGATAAAGGTGTCGTCCCAACACAGGTTCATCTTGGGTTCCCTAAGGGGAAAAAAAATATTTATTTGTGGGAATGTTGTCAGTGTATTAATCACATTGTATACCTCCAGGCAATAACCGAGCGTCCCAGCAGAGCTGATATCACTTGTGTCGATCTTTTGTGAGTGACAGGCGCTAATGTGTTATTTTGCACAAAAAACAGCTTATGGTTGGCCCTAAACACTGAAACCATTCACATGTGTGTCTTAAGGTTTGGATCATCTTTCTTTCACGCACAATCCCTTTATCAGCATATGGCAGACTGGTTTGACTTGTGCCAAGTCTGCCAGTTTTGCCAACGGTTCCAACATTTGTGCCAAAGGCTCCCAGTGAAGCCAATTTAAAAATGCTACTGCTCTTCTCTATGAATCTCCTTGTTTGTAGGCCTTTGAGTTCTGCTTCCTCTTATTCTTTGTCTCTCATTTCTCAGTGCATAGCTTTCTCAAGCTCATAAACCAAAAGAACCCCCAATCCCCCAATCAATGCTCAGTTATTGTTCACCTCCCACTTTCTCCTCACTGATTTCCTGTCTGTCTCACCCCACCACTCCTTCACAGATTCCCAGCCATTTTTCTGTGCCATTGCCTTCGTCCGCCCCCTCACTCCACTGTCATTTCTAAGCCGTTACGCTTTAGCGCTTCTACCGTAGGTGATGAAAATACCCAGGATCCTCTGCTCTGCCAGCTAGCTCCTTTGGGCAGATGCAAGATGCCGTGCTGTCTCTCATTGCACGACCCTCTGTTCAGCTCATCAGCAAGATGTGGCTTTGAATGGAGGCAATTTGAAGCAAATCGGATCAGCTGTACAAAACACAAACATCGAGTGACTACATTATTCATGAATTTCCTCCCTTTTAATTCATATTTAATATGTTCAAGCCTCAGCATCCACATCGACCAGCCATGTTAGTTTTGGTTTCTGTTATGAGAGAAGCTCAATGTTTTTTTTATGGACGGAGTTAAATCCCATATCACTAATTTCTGAACAGATTTAAGACTACTTTCCAAACACAATGTGGATTTTATTGCATTTGCTGAGGCAAACAAATGCTCAATGCACAGAGATGTCAGACTCCCTTATAAATCTCCTATATTTTCTCCCATAAATCCTTTATGCCTCCTCTAGAATTGTTTGTTTTTGCTTAGATCTTCTCTGCAGCATCTTCTTCCTTTTGCTGTATCGGATTGCAGTGGTAAGCGAACACTATTTTACAGAAAAATGAAGCATCTTTTACTCAGCATGGTCAACTGGGGCTTTTTTCCATTTTTATACTTGTCATGTAAGTTTTTGTTAAATGTACGCCTGGTTTTGTGATGTACGATTGCAATATCCCCATTCTGATGGCTCAGGAGACAACAGTTAATGGGGATACGCCATCACTGGCAAAGTGGGAAATGGAAATGTACTGCATCTAATGAAGGTGCTTTACCATTCTGTCCTTGAAAAGAGCCGTTTCAGATGTGCTCAATGTCATTCATCTGGGCAAATAATAAAGGAATATATCAAAATATCTTTACAGTACTTTAGGACTACAAAGTAGCAATATTTTGTCTGAATTTTTAAATGGAGATTCACTCTGATTCATTGAATCAGTTGTTGACTCAAGAACAGCCACAATCGGACTAGTCAGATTTGCAAATAATGAATCATTGTGTGCAGTTAGTTCATTCACAAATTGGAACGTTGATTTCTTCATTTCAGAATATTGAGTAACTATATGGTTTTATAAAATGTAGTGGAGTAAAAAGTATGATATTATGCTTTGGAGTAAAGTGAAGTAAAAAGTTTCCCAGTTGGAAAAATAAAAAATTAAAATACTTTGCTTAACTTTAACTTAACTCAAATTAAGTATTGTCTTAAGCCAGTAAGCAGCCACCTAGCAATCACCCAGAAAACCTTCGAAACCACGCACATAACTACATGCTGCAAACATATAAGCAAATGCATAGCAGCACCCTAATTTCGCACCACTTTTATTCAGATAATATACAAATTTTGAGAAGTATTACAGCAGTCAAATGTAAAGCCAGTGACAGCTGCAAAAGGAGCCTTGCTGTTATTTGGCTGAGAAAGTGGCAGCACCCCAACATCTACCCCAGAAACACACACACACACACTAGTCCAACAATCTGCCAGAGGACACAGAGAAGATGGAAGCTTCCATCACCAAGTCAATGGTTTGCCAGGCACATGGTATTGATTTATGAAAATGGCTCCTTTCGTGTCTTCCTCCCCCACCGTCTCTTGGTGTTGTCTGTGGTTAGGATCTTTTGTGTATGCGTTTAACCCTGCCACATATCCTGACCGTGATTCTGTCCTGCCAGTGTGTGAAATTATGTGTGTTGAGGGATTGTGGGATTTGCCTGCCTGCCTCTCTGATTAATGATAAGTCACCTCACATTCTGTCAGCCATCTGTAATTGCCTTTTGACACCTGATGGCACATCTGAATAGATTCTGCTAGAATTTCTTTGTACCGTTTTCTGCAGGTGAGAGATTCAAACAGCATCTTTTTATTCATTTTTACATTTCACCTCAGTAAAGAAGCTGTTTGCACAGCAGTTACAGTCATTAAAATACGTAGATCTTATCCTATCACACTCGGTCTTTTTAATCAAATTTTTTTCGGCAGCCCTGAAAAGAAAATTAGGAAGAAAAAGTGCTAAACAATGGGATTTGACTGAAAGATTTAGGCTTTAATTATTTATTACATGAGACTTCTTTGTCTTAGCTTTCTCCACTTTGGCTTTGATGAGTATGGAAATCCGCTGCGGAGAGGTGGTATTGTGCTGGGTTTGTTAAACACTGATCAGACGAGCTGACTGGGGAGGGGGGCAGGTTGAGTTAAGGTCCTGTTATTGGCCTGATTTACCCACATTCCCCCGGGTGTTGTCTACTACCACTATACTCTCTAAAAACAAACACAGACCGTCTGTCCCCCCCACTGTTTTAAGCATTTCCAATGTCATCAGCATGGACAGTGTGAATGTGCGGTCGGCATCAACTCTCTAAATGAGCATAAACACAATTTGAACAGCTCAGGCTGATTTCACTGACATTCTGCTACATTGGTTGGGATTGCAATGGTACATAGATTTGTTGTTAGGAATATTTGTAATATTGGGTATTTATGGAAGCCTGTTTCTGCCACTGAATAAAAAAAAAAAAAAGGTAATTACGAATTTTTATCTCACAATTCTGACTTTTTTTCTCACAATTTCGACTTTACATCTTGCAATTCTGACTTTTTTTCTCAGAATTGTGAGATATAATCTTGCAATTATGAGAAATGAAGTCAGAATTGTGAGATATAAACTGGCAATTCAGATTTTTTTCTCAGAATTGTGAGATATAAACTCGCAATTCTGAGAAATTAAGTCAGAATTTTGTGATAAACTTGCAATGGACCCTTTTCACATTTCCGGGTTTCTCAGCAGCGGAAGTCATCACAGCATTGTGAAAAGGGTCCATTGCGAATTATAAAGTCAGAATTGTGAGTTATAAACTCACATTTCTGACAACATATCAGTCTTTTTTCTCCTCAGAGCTGGACTTTATAACTCGCAATTACGAGTTCATATCTCACAATTCTGAGAAAAAAGTCAGAATTGTGAGATATAAACTCGCAATTGCGAGAAAAATAGTCAGAATTGCGAGTTTATATCTCGCAATTCTGACTTTATTTCTCGCAATTGCGAGTTTATATCCCGCAATTCTGACTTTATACAGTATCTTGCAATTCTGACTTAATAACTCGCAATTGAGTTTATATCTCACAATACTGAGAAAAAAAGTTAGAATTGCAAGTTTATATGACGCAATTTTGAGAAAAAAAGCCAGAATTGCGAGATGTAAACTCGCAATTGCGAGAAAAAAAGTCAGATTTGTAAGATAAAAAGTCGCAATTACCTTTTAAAATTTTTATTCATTGGCAGAAACGGGCTTCCATAGGTATTTGCAACATTTATTTGTTAATTTCATATGATGAGAGATGTCTGCTGCATTACTCTGAAATTATAAATATTATAGTTTACCCTTAAAAATACATGGCTAAGTGTGCATTACACACAATGTATGAAGGGAGTTGTTTTTGCAACTCAATTTAAATTTACATGCATTTACTCACTGTACATGTCTTGTAGTCAAGAATTATTTCAGAATCATTTTCACACTCTTGAACAGAAACAGTCTAAAAACATCTGTTCAGATGTTTAGCCTGACAAAAACAATAGGTTATGCAATAAGCATTTTCTTTATTATGTAATATGTAAATACCTTTTAACATTAAAATTGCAAATTATCCTCAGCTTCATTTCTACCCACGTTAGAACAAAAAAAGGTAATTGTAGTTAAATCACATTTCAAAGTGTTTTAAACCCAAAATGCTAATCTGGGAAACATGCAGCATTGTAAAGATTTGAAATTGACCTTTCAACCTATATTTAGCAAAGCTAATTACCATTATGTACTTGATAGTACATTATAATTGATGCCTAATCAATAATATCAATAAGTTATTCTCTGAATTGCGCTACATTTCTTTCAGACTGATTGATTGGTTTGTGTTTAGAAATGACAAGTGTACATCATGTACATCACATTGGTTTGGTGATGTAGGACCTCTGGTTGCAGATTTGCTGAGTATGAATGTGGAGCCTTGCTGTTTCTTCACTCCTCTGCATTAGTCATACGGTTAAGTTACGTAATGGGTTCAGTCACAGTAGCACAGCAACTCAAAGGCAAGTTTTTCCTTGAGGTCAGTGCTAGCACACAGGCAAAGACTAGAGGCCATGTAGGGAGACTCGCCCACACTTCGGTGCTGATTTGTATTTTATTTTACACAGTATTTTAAACTGAATACAGTGTAATGCGTGCTTGAGGCATCTGTGGTGACAGTTCAGGTAACCAAAATCAGCATCCTCATGATATTTACAGTACGTTAAGACAGTTTTATGGAAAAGGATATTGGAATTTATGTCTTTGGACAACACTTCAAGTTTAACCACGTTTATGATGCCATATTTGCCAGACATAAGGCTCCTTTCACTTCTTCCCACCTGAGTCAATGTAAAGTGGGTTCAACATATGGTAGGGATTTTTACTGAATACTGAGCCACTCAAACAGCTCCCCAGAGGTCCATTATCATCTATTATTGATGTCTAAGACAGGCCTTACACCCTCGGAAATGCACTTTGGGTGCCACAGATCAGATTATATGTATCATTAGCTATATTCCTAGCTATATTCCACTCAGTCTAGCTAAAGGCCTATTACACACAGGAGCAGATGTGTTATATATGGCATCATGGTATACTGTATCTCTACCAGGGGTATTCTCATACACAAATAAACATCATAACATAACTATATTTAGACTTGAAGTAACGGAAATACTTGAAATGACATTATGCATCTGGTTGCAAGAAAAAAGGTAACCGTATTCAGTTACAGCTAAAAAATAGACTTTATCGGGTTATCGTACATTTTTGTACTTTGTACTTTTTTTCCTTTTTTTGTCTTATGTCTAAAATTTAAATGTATTAAATATTTTTTTCATGTCATATATATTTATTGTAATCCAAATAGCAATATTTTAGTCAAATAGAATTTAAATTTAGTCAAAAAATGTTATTTGTCAAAAATTTAAAAAGCAATTTCTGTGTAAAAATTTTTAATTTGCCTTGAGATAGTCCATATTGTTATATTTGGATAAGGTTACAATATTAATTATGATCTTTCACACTCTTTTTCTGTCACTCACAGGTGTGGCGTGGGACACTGGCCAGAATGCGTTACCGCCGCATGCGTGCCGCCCTCATCATCATCCGAGCATACAGAAGATACAAGGTTAAGTCGTACATCCGTGAGGTCAACCGACGCTTCAAAAACGTGCGTGGCATGAAGGATCACGGCAAACATGTGAAGTGGCCCACACCGCCTAAGGTCCTGCGCAAATTTGAGGAGGCACTGAGGAACATCTATAACAGGTCAGAGTTACAGAGGACAGGAAGTGGACAGGCTCACTGGTGCTCTGTGTGACTCATGGGGTAGTCATGTATGACTCCAGCTGTGCTGCAGTAATGTCAGCCGTATGGCGGGGGACACAGTCTGGCCTAATGTTACCATAAAAATGTAATGTCTCTGACTCACTCCCATGCTTTCAGCTCTTTATCATTGTTGGACAAGGAAATGTAATTTTTTTGCTATAGGCTTGTATATTTCTTGGGTCTTTAAGTAAGGAATGGCTCTCTTGCGTTCAACAGGGCTATTGTTGCTGCCTGAAGCACTTATTGATCTTTGGATCAAAGTCTTGTTGGAGATCTATTCACAAGAGCCTTAACACAGCTCTGACCCTGAAATAGATGTAGAAAACAACCCAAAAGTCAAAATAATATTACTGGTGTTTAGATTTCTAGTCACACAACTAATGTATGACATTTTTTGGCATTTTATGGCATTTAAAAAAAAAGTAAGCATTTTTTCAATACAAATTATATTATCAGCATAACAGCTTGAGTGAAACATCTACCTGAAGTTAACATGGATTTCATTTGGTTTGCCCCCTTTTACTTTAGTGCAAAAATGGCATGAAAAGCTAATAAATAATTAAATTGTGAAAATGTAAAATTACAATAAATAACAAATTAATACAATCAAAATAAAGACAAAAAGCACTAAAAAAACACTGCTAAAAATAAGTTATTATATATTTAAATATTTTTGTTTATATGCATGTTGTGTGAAAACTATTCCTTTAACTTACATCAGAGTCGTGAACATGCAAATATTTGTTAATTTATTGTTTTTGTTTTTTTCTTTCAGTGGGTATTCTCAGGGGTACTTTTTTTACCTAATTTTTTGGATAACGCTTTTTTGTTTACACTTTTTAAAACCAGAAACTTTCTGCTTATATTTAGGTTTAATTAACATTTTGAATCCTATATTACCAATGTGGTTTCAGTATATTTATGTGGACTTTTTAAGCTACTGTGTACATTACAATTCATGTTGCAGGCAATGGCTTTGTGTTTATGATATTTATTTAAATATATTTTAGATGGTGGGCCTGGACGCTCATTAAAGACCTGTCTCCAGAGGAGATAGTGCAGATCAGGGCTAAAGTGGCCACATTAGAGTGTCTGAAGGGGCAGAGAGCAGATCTCGGCCTGCAGAAAGCCTGGGAGGGCAACTACCTGGTTAGTGTTTAAAACCGTCTGGTTTGAAATAAATTATGATACATTTAGTTTACATTGTTTAACACAACATTTTTTTCTATTCTTAGAAAAAGGACAGTCCTGGGACAGCGTCTTCCTTTACTCTTGTTTCCAGTGATCTGCAGAGGAAAGATAAGTTCATGAGAGTCCTCTTCTCCTGCAATGTCCGCAAAGTATGTCCTTCATAATATTCGGTTGAGTCCTCTCTGACTGACAGTTACGTGAATCATTGCTGCAATATTAGATGTTTGCTTGGCATGTAATGTTAACCTATGCAATATTTTTGTCTCAACAGATCAATCGCTTCAATAAAGCAGAGGATCGAGCATTGCTCATCACTGATCGCCACCTCTACAAAATGGACCCCGTCAAGCAGTACAAGCCCATGAAGAGCATCCCACTCTATAATGTAAATATCTACCTTTTTGATATCATAAGTTGCATTCACACAGCAGCAGAATATAATTGTCAGTCATATTTGGAGTGCAAATGCAGTTTGGTGTTTAAAGAGTACGGTGGCCGAGAAGTGCTAAACAAATCACAATTCTGAAAACAAAATAACAAATTACAAACGCAAATGCAAAAGTCACATCCACTTTTAACTAAATGTAAATAGACACCCCCGTATTTTTTATTCCATAGTAAGGGCAATTCATACAATACATTTAAACTGAGCTACTTTAATACCATCTCCGAACTTTCTACCACGACTCTGCTGTTCTTCGGCTGGTTCTTCCCTGTGTACGTTGATTGACAGATGTCTCGTCCAGTCAGCGGTGAGTAATCCCAAACCAATGGCGCTGTCTCAAACTATACCTACCTCTTCCGGTTTGTCTGATTTGTCGTTGTGTTTTCTGACTTGTTATTTTGTTTTCGAATTTGTCATTGTGTTTTCTGACTTGTTATAATGTTTTCTGAATTGTTGTTGTGCTTTCTGAATTGTTATTTTGTTTTTTAGACTTGCACTTGCGTTTGTAATTTGTTATTTTGTTTTCAGAATTGTGATTTGTTTAGCACTTCTCGGCCACCGTAAAAGAGAGTGACTATCATATTCTTCAATTCCAGAAGTCACAACTGAATTTTAAGAACGGTTGTAATCAAGAATTTATTTGGTGATTATTCAGATTGTAGTATTGTAATACAGTTATTTCAGATATTTTCCTCATAGTTAAATCAAACTGGATTCTGTTTATATCCTTCCAGGGTTGATAAAGTCTATTTTTTTTTTGTTGTAAACCTGAAACATTTCATCCTGTGCTAAAGCTGGTAGAACATCTAGTCTTTTCATTCATGGTCACTTTACATAACATAGCTTTACATTAAATTATTTTTCCATTTTGCTTGAAACGGCAGTTTTTTTTTACTTTCTACTCATGTATTACTAAAATGTAAGTCTTTACTGTCACTTTTGATTAATATATTGCATCGTTGCAGCATAGAAGTATTAAATTCTTTCACAAAAATAACTTACTTTTGAACTGCAGTGTAGGTTGTTTTTTATATAAATAATTAAGTTAACACTTTATTAAAAGGGGCAATTCTAACTATTAACTAGTTGCTTATTAGCATGCCTATTATTAACATATTGACTGTTTATTAGTACTTATAAAGCACATATTCTGCATGATCATAGTCTATATCCTTAATCTTACCCAATACCTAAACTTAACAACTACCTTACTGACTATTAATAAGCAGTAATTAGGAGTTTATTAAGGCAAAAGTCATAGTTAATATTTAGTTAATAGTGAGAACTGGACCTTAAAATAAAGCGTGACCATAATTATTCTAATTTAACTCTAGTAGAGGGAGAAGTGAGTTATGAAAGTGACTCAAAATGAAATTTATTGACATGGTTTAATTTCTTCATCCAACAGAATCATTAAAGGGTTTTATTGCTATGTACAGTGGGTTGAATAAGAAATAGCCTATGTAAGTAAATCTCTGATTGCTTTCTGAATGCTGGAAAAGAGTAGTAAACATCTCTTGATTTGGGGAAGGTCAATGCCCAGCTGAACCTCTCCTGCCAATCACATTTATTTATTGCTCCAGTGTCACAGAACGCACAGGTCAGGGAAATGGATAAAATGATTTATGTGACAGCTAACACCTAATAAGACAAAAGGATATCAAGGACACTGATTGCATTATTAAATGGTTGGGCTGGAACCGTGTCATAGAAAAAAAACATTACTTAGATATTATCCCAAAAAAAAAAAAAAAAACACCATGTTATCTCCTCCCCCCCAAACAATCCACTCTGCAACTCTGCTACGCTCCTGGTTGGGAACCACTGCCTTATAGTTCACAAAATCCCACTGCATGATTCTTACATAATGAATCTTTGATTAAACAGCAGGAACAATACAATTCCTTCAATCACATCCGAACACAGGAAGTCAATGGTAATGTGACTCATTCCCTACCGATTAGAGAGACCAGGGGTGCCTGATCCATATTTCCACTAGCATTATGTGCATATCAGGATATCACAACCTGTTCTGGCCTGGTCATCAGTGTCATGTTTGACTCTTCACATTTGTCTTTCGTAACTGTTCTTTAAATATTTACTCATAAGTGACAAATTGCTCATATCCAGCATTTCATAATGACTGTATTATCATTTGGTCCTAATTTGGTCACACCAGCTGTCGCATCCTGCATCTTTTATTCTGTGAGACCACCACCAAGATCTTAGATGTGGTAGAGATGGTTTCCATCCAGCCAAGCTTTATTTTAAGATAAATGAGGGTGAGATAATTGGTATTGACAGTGTGGGCAACTCTGCTACGCTCCTCCTCCTTCATCGGTCTCCTTCTCCACCGTTGTCATGCCAACATCCCAGGGGATGGGGTTGTCATGGTGACTGAGCGGGAGGGGAGATCAGCTGATGTATCGTTCCGGCATGTGCACAAATTTGCCTCCTCGGTGTGTTCCTTCTGCTTGGGCTTGTGTGTGTCTTCACACTTCTGTAGGCTTTCTTTGTTTTCATCGCTTCTCTCCTGTTGAAGTCTCTATTTTCTCTTCATATATCTCTTTATGTTCACTTTATTTTCCTGAATGCTGTTTGTTTGGGTCATTTATCTCGGCATGATAATGAGAAATTATAATAAAATTATTACTATATAAAGGGAAGAATATAATGTACCTTATTGCAGTGGTTCCCAATCTAAGCACCCCCCCCCCATATATATATATATATATATATATGCAATAATGACATTGATTTTTTTACTTAGAAATGCACATTTGATTTAACAGTAGTAGAAGCTTAAGTAAGGTGCAGAAATGTTCATTATCAAAAACTGTAACAGTACAAACTGTAAAAATTGTAACAACCTCATTTTTATATGGTGAAATTAAATTATTCTGACTGTTTGAGTTTTATTCAAATTAACCATTGCTCTTCCATAGTAGCTTACATATTTGAATCATGATAACCAGGGTTAAAACCACACATATTAGCACCTCAAAACCATGGTAAAAATGCAACTATATGGTTTCTAGGTATTTGTATGAAAAAATAAATGTCTTCTAAATACATTTAGTATGCACAAACGCTATAGCTTAATCACAAAAATACTGTAATTATATTCCATTACTCCTTTAATAGATATGCATTAATAATATAATAAAATTCTATATGAATATCCCACATTTCTGACACAATACAATGGTGTCATTAGTGTTGCTACAGTGAATCCATGGAAAATTATGGCGATTTGTAGATTGAAAATCCTTCTGACTGTATTGTTGCGCACAGTGTTTCATCTGGCTTGAAACTAAATCACCGAGTCATTTGTGTTCTTGCACTTCACACTGGATCTCACAGTGTTGTTTAGTGCTTGCGTGACTGAGACTCACCAGCGAGTGAATGCATCTGCTCTTGTAAACTCATGCTGCGCTGTCGTTTGAACTTCAAGCCGAGCGGATAAAAGCTGTGTGTCACGGTTCAAATGTATAGCGCTGTTTCATGGCACTTTTGGCGCATAAACATTAAATAGAACATTTATTGAACTCTTGTTATCGTTTTATCGAGGAAAATTATACCACAATAATTATCGTTATCGTTTTACTGCCTAGCCCCCAAGAAAACTGATCCATGGGGGATTTATTTCCCCCTAGCTGTTTTACCCTAGCCCAGACTGTGTTCGTTGAACCCTAAACCTAGAGATAAAGAAGATGAAAGACAAAGAAATTTTACCTCAAGGAAACTGCATCACATTTTCAAGTGTTTCATCTTGATAAGAGCACTTGTGTATGGAGGTTTGCTATTGTTTTTGGGTCAAATATGGATATCTGGAAGTCTAGTTTTAAAATGAGGTCTTGGAAATTTAATCTGTTTATTCATGTTAGTTTCAGATATTTTTGAAGAAAGAAATTGTCAAGTGACGACCATGAAAATGTAATGCTCAAGACTAAACAAACAGCCTAATAATTTTTTACAGAAATCTTTTCAAACCTAAAAAAATCATACATTTTTGAATTATGAGTGTTTTCTTGTACTGTATTTGTTTTCCCATTTCCATTGACTATTTATTGATTTTTCTTTTCTTTTCTTTTTTTTAAGAGACTTGCTAGCCAGTCTCTGTAGGGGTCCTTTCTATCTTTGCCTGTGTTATGTTTTTCTTGTTGAATTGCAACATTTATTATTATTTTTTTATTCAATCATTCATTCATTCATTCATCCGTTTTGAAAATGAAATTTAATTTATATATTGAAAGAAATATAAACATAGTTGAGGTGTATTGAAGTTGAGGTGTATTGAATTATTTGTCTGCATGACTAGCATTTTAAATGCATTTTTGCATATAATATAAATAAAATAACCTCATTGGCCTATGCAGTCTGTTCTGACACCTAGTTGAATTAAAACTCAAGGTCCCGAACCACCACAATCAAACATCTAATAACCCATCATGACCCCCATGTTTATTTATTGTTTGAACAGTGTTTTTATTGTTAACTAAACTAAAACTTTTTTGTTGATTAAAATAAAGCTGAAATAAAATAAAACATTAGATAAAAAATTTAAACAAATACAAATTTGAAAATATTTCCTAACTAAAATAAAATTTCAGTTTCAGTTGACATTCTAAAATTATTCAAATTAAACAGAAATAAAAAGAAATTAAAGCTGAATAGAAATAAAAACATAATAAAAAATACAAAAGTACAAAAAATTACTAAAACTTAAAGTAAAATTAAAACTGAAAATATAAACATTTACGGTAATTTAAAATATTAATAAATAGTATATAAATTTATACTAAAATACAACTGGTTCTGAAGGTCGTCTGTGCTGGAAGTAGTGTCTCACCTTTTTTATTGTTACACAGTAAATTATGATTTGGTCCCACACCTTAATGTACCAACAGATGTGTAATGTTTCCTGCGAGTGCACCTTCAAAACCCAGGGCCCTTGGTCGCAGCTTCATGATAATGAGAACTAAATTATGGCAGAGCTTATTAGTGCATGCTGGCCTGCTGTGTGTCTGTATGAGTGCTGTTTTAACTCGCATCGCCCTTTCTTTCTGTCTCAGGTGACCGGAGTGAGCATTTCCCCTGGGAAAGACCAGCTGGTCGTCTTCCACACCAAAGACAACCGGGACCTAATCGTGTGCCTGCAGGGCATGGTGCCAGCGGGGGACAGCCGCATCGGAGAGCTGGTTGGGACCCTGTTCAGCCACTTCAAAAGGTGACACCGACAGGGGGCGCTCCTGAGAGCGATTTGGGAGAGATAGCAGGACTCTGGGGACGGGGCCAGGGTACATAAGGCTAAGAGTGCCAACCATGATAATTCAACCACTCTCTTGTCTGCAGTGCCAGTTCAGGGCGTTTAAGGACAGAGCAGCCAGCTTAGCCCTGTCGGATTGGTACCCCCTATGGCTTTTTATGAAGCGGGAGAACATTTTGTGTCTTCTAGATTTGAGAGCTACTTTAAGCTCCCTAGAATCAGCCAAATGATTGCACAAGAGCTGAGCATGGTACAGAGAGGAGATATAATATGTTCTGCTTGATGTTTGCTAAATTATGCCCTGGTGTGTCATACTGTGATGGCTGAGGGGTTACACCTACTGAAATCGATGGGCGGTAGACACTATAACAGGCCGTTTGATGATTTTGTATGGCTTATGAATCAGAAAAATGAGATGGACTCTAAAGGTTATCTGAGGGTATGTAAAGTGTGTGTCTGTCTGTGTACTGAGATTAGAGGAAAGCACAGAGATACGGGTAAGATGAGGGCAGTCTGAATGAAAGTTTCCAATTTGTGTGTCTGTTTGTTTTTATAACTAAATGAGCCTGGCTGACAGGGCCGATTATTATTTAAAACACAAACACACCATAGTAAGGTTCACTCAGTGTCCCTAAAAATCCACACCACAACCACACCTTTTAAGGGGTGCGACCATTAAAAAAATGCACAGTAATCCAGTTAATGAACTTTCAATTTTATATCTATTGATTTTGCCATTATTTAGCAATTTTTTTATATTTATTCATTTCTGTAATTATATTATTTTATTTTTGTATTTATTTTTATATTTTAACTCGCCTATAGTTAATTTCCACTTTAGTCTCTATATTCAAGTTGGTCAAACCAGATCAATAAGTATACAACTGTTCAAAATGTTGTCATTAAGATTTTTTAAAATCTTTTTGAACGAAGTCTCTTACGCTCGCCAAAGCTGCATGTATTTGTTGTATTTATTATTAAAATACAGTTAAAATAGTTATATTATGAAATATTATTATAAATAACAGTTTTAATATATTAAAAAATTTAATTTATTCCTGTGATAGCAAGGCTGAATTTTAAGCAGCCTTTACTCTAGTCTTCAGTGTCAGATGATTATTCAGAAATCATTCTGATATGCTGATTTGGTGCTTAAGAAACATATTTCTTTTTATTATTAAAACAGTTGTGCTGCTCTATGTTTTTGTGGATACTGTGATACATGTCAGGATTTTTTAATGAATGGAATCTTCAAAAGAACAGCATTTATTTGAAACTGAAATCTCTCATAACATTGTTTTTACTCTCCTTTTTGATCAATTTAATGCAAATCTGCTGAATGAAATCAATTTCTTACTTAAAAAAAAAAGTACTAGAAGTACATACAGAACACTATGTCAGTTTCATCCAGAATGTATGTGCATTAGCCTTGTGGCTCCAAAATACAGAGGTGATGCTCAACGTGTATTTAATCCTTCAAATATTTGAGTAAGCATTGTAGTGTGTTCTAGGCCATACAGATGAAGACTGTAGTTCGACTACAAAAACAGCTGCACATGTAAATGTACTGAGTTATATTGACTTGCCTTAAAAGGATGCTTCACTGCTTTTTCTGTAAATAAAGCCCCTGTGTCCCCCGAGCGGAGTGTTTTTTTAGAAAACACCTTGCTAACGTTTCGCTGCTAATGACCTGCAGCCGTAAGCTCTCTCTGGATCCATCCATCAGCATGATCCATTTGCCGAACAAAAGGCCAGGCTCTGAGGCTGCTGTATTCTGCTGCTTTCCTCTCCCTGTAGATCTGTACTTAACCTTTATCTCTCCTCTGCTGTCCTGCACAGCAGCCTGAGCACTAGCCACCGCAGAGAGAATGTTCCTTCCTCTCTCAGTTCACTTCCTATTGCGATTTCAACAGTGACGCCTAGGAAAGAGTTTGTATAGTAGCTTTTGAGAGTTAGTACAAAAATCGTCTGTTTAAATCATTTTCAATTAAACTGACCCTATCACAATTATGCATGATGTTGCTGTTAAGTGAGTTTGGATCTTTGGCCACATTTTGCTGAGGTTTGACACTGAACTGGTTTGACTTTTCTGCCAGAGTGGCTTTACGGGAAAACTGCAGACATAACTGTTTCTCCTGTGCTATGAATAGATCGGAAGAGCATCCCATGTATTGAAAATCAGTCTGACTGGCACAGTCTGTGCCATATGCGAGTAAAATTGTAACCCTCTTATCTGCATTAAGAATGTTGTCAACAAAGTCTCTGATAACTCATTCGGCTGTACGTAAATAGAGAGGATTATTTCTCTAAGTGCCCACTTTCTCTCTCAACATTTTTATTTTTCTCTGAAACTTGCTTTGTGTTTATCCTATACCATCATTCATCATATCTCACTGTTTGTGACAGCATAAATATAGAAAATCATAATCATAAATGTAGATTGCCACAAATGTTGAATAAAATAGTCTTTTTATTTATTACTATTAGGGCTGTGCATTCGATTTTTTGCACAGCCCTAATTACTATTTAGTTTTAATTAATTTTTATTTCAGCTTTAGTTTTAGTGTCCAGTTTTAGTTTCTGTTTATTTACAGTTCCAGTAATTTTAGTGCTTTAGCTGAAACTGGCAACATTTCTAATTTTCAGTTTAAGGGCCAGTTTTACTAAACAGAGCAAATTAGCGCGAGAGCGCAATTCCAAAACAGTGCCGATGGGTGTGGAAATTTCTGCAGGTGATTTACTAACAACGCGCAAATTAAAGAACACAGACGCAACATCTCATTTACATATCGACCAATGCAATATACCAAGCGCAGTGCAAATTAGCATAGTCACGAATAAACAATAAAGAAATAAATGAGCCACATACCGCTGAAAAGAACCGGAGGCCAAAAAATTAAGAGTTGCAAGAGGTTTTGATAGAGCTAGTATTGCGTGACTCCTAGTTGAGGGTTCCAAGTCATCTTTTATTTTCTGAAGCAAATTAAAAATAACATGGCTTGGCAAACGATATGTTCGGATAATGTGTTCTTTCCAAATAAATTAATACATGTGAAAAATTCTCTCCCTTCTACCACGCGCTCTCTGTTCTCTGCGGTGCCTTCTCCTAGCAACAATAATTGCAGCCATTTTAAACGCAAAATAGTTTAAGACATGCTTTTTTTGTGTGTTAAAGGGGTCATATGACGTTGCTAAAAAAGAACATTATTTTGTGTATTTGGTGTAATGAAATGTGTTTATGCGGTTTAAGGTTAAAAAAACACATTATTTTCCACATACTGTACATTATTGTTTCTCCTCTATGCCCAGCCTTTCTGAAACGCGTCGATTGCGTGCGTTGTGATATTCCGAATACCTCAAGCGTGTGACAGAAATGTTACGCCCCTTACCAATCACACACGTCTCATTCGTTCCGGTTAAATAGTGCTTGTAGTGCGCATTATAGTCATTCCCGCAGGTTTTGCGCTTATACCAAACGCGTGCGCACCACCACTGATCTATATTAGTGGAGCGCACAATCCGCGCTCAGTCTCAAACAGCTTG